GGAGAACCACTACCTCGACCCTGGAATGCTGCGAAGCTAAAACAATATTATAGCTAAAATCTCTCACCTGCTGAGGACTTTTGTCGTCGATTATTCATCTTCAGTCGACGAAGGGAAAAGCTCAACCACGTAGGCGAGTCGAGGTATAAACGCGACCTACCAACCAATAAAAAGCAGAATATTGTTCATTTTGACGAGCAACATCCTTGCCCGACAGGGACACCTCGATCGAGCTCTGCTGTCGAAGTACCCCAACATGGCAGAACACCCAACTCGCAATGGGCAGTTCACGCCATGAGTGTAGGATCCTGATCGCGATCATACGCTCGTCCTGCGGATCCCACTCCGCGCCCTCGACACATTTCGAAGTGTGTCGAACTGATATTAGGGTTGAGCGCATATCTCCACACGAAAAACACGAACTTCGTGGAAAATTCATAAACGACCACAACAATGGTCGGGCACATATATCCAAAGGTTATATACCAAGTATTCATCAAATAAACAGTCATAAACAACGCAATTATATGAGCATCAAAGCAAAGCAACGCAATTATAATATGCTGACCACAAGGGCCGATGTTGTCCAAAATTACAGTTTAGGCACGACGGCCACAAAACTAAATGAATGATAGCGGGCACGCAGGCCCTAAAATGACAGCGGACACGCAGACCCTGAATAAAAAATCCAATCAAGCTTCATCCTCCCCGTCGCTACTATCAGGGGGATAAAGAATCTTCCCGTCAACGACTTGGTTAAATGGGCCCGCTCCCTCGACCACTATCTCAACCCCCGGGTTCAAGATCTTTAGTTGCTCGACGGAAGTGTTGAAGTCGTAGCCAAGGGTATCAACGACGTCTTGTTCGAGCACGCGGATGCGAGCGATCAAATCTTCCCTAGTCGCCATGTCCTTCTCCGCATCGGTCTCATCCTCGATTGGGGCTATGATCCCTTCTAACTCCGTCGTACGAGCGACCAGACGCTCCTTCTCTTTAGTGGCGACCTCCAGTTGAGGCCTCAGCTCATTTAAATCCTTGAGAAGTCGAACTTGGGCCTCGAACTTTGATTCGTGGTTGAGGATGTCACACTTTAACTTCTCATTTTTGGCCTTCAGCTTGTGAATTTTGGCATAGGCCGTGTCGAGAGAGGCTTTAGCACTCGAGGACTCATCGTTTAACGAAAGAGTTGTCTCGAGCACTCTCATCACAGCGGCCACATCCTCGGCCAAGTGCTTCCGAAGAACCTCCTTATCTTCAGTTAAGATTGCCTCTCTCTCCTCCTCGCGCACGCCGAGGGAGCTCTCCCCGCTGAAGAGATCAAGGTTTAGGTAGCAAGGAGGCAATACAAAGACCCCTGTGGGCACTTTGTCACCCTCGGGCGCTGCGCCCGCAGCGCTATCCACATGCTTCCTCTTAGCCCCGGGCTCGTTGACAGGAATCTGGACGGGCTCAGCAGAAAAAGCCGGATTTTTTGATGAGGAAGGGGAACCACTGGCCCGACCGACAGATTTGGCCTGTTCCTGAAGTAGGGTGACTCTGTTTTTTGGCCCAGAGGTGGACGCGTTCTTGGGCCTCAACTTCAACAGACGCTCAGAAAGGGATGTCATTCGACCTGCAATCAAAAAGAATCGTTAGTCAGGTTGAAAATCCAAAAATAGCGCGAGCACGTTCCCGCATAAAAAAGAGCAAATTAATTAGGCTACGTCCCCTACCTAAAAGCCTCATGACTTCCCCGTTTGAAGAGCACTCGAGCAAGGCCTTCGTGTTGATCAACCTATTGACTAAAAGATACTCCCCCTCGTCGTCGAACAAGAGGTTGTTGTTCACATCCACGCACTTCGCGGGGGAGAAACTCTTGACATAAACTGACAGCTTCTCGTACGAAAGCTGGTCTTGAGCGTCTAGGTCCTCGGGTTTCACAGCATAATATTCGGGCCTTTGTTCAAAGTGCTTTCACTGCCATTCGAGCGAAAATCTGGCCATAAGTCAGATAACTGGCCCCCCGTCCTCCACCTCTTCCATACGAGTATACAGGGAATCTATGGCCGCGTCCGTCAGGGGCTTCACGACGAAATACCTCTCTTTGAAATTCCGAACAAACTCCAGGTAAGGCCTGAAGAGCTTCCCGAATTGCTTGAACGATACCCACGTCTGCCCCTCTCTGACAGATTGTCTATGGAGGTGAAAAATGCGAAAAAAGAGGGGCATCGTGGCACCTATCCTCAGATACTGGCAGACGAGCTCAAACGCTCTCATAAACGTCAACGCGTTCGAATGGAGTTGAGAAGGCGCCAATTGAAGCCATTGAAAAACCCCGACTTGAAAATCATTGAAGGGAAAGCGCATCCCCGCCTCTTTAAAAGCAAATTCATACATGGGGAATTGTTTTCCCGGATACGTCGAGCATATTCTTCAATCGCGATGGGGGATTTGGAGCATCCAATTGGCGGGGGCCCTTCTGCGCGTACCTCCGGTCAATTGAACGCATTCGTCACGTCTTGGGAAAAGCACGACCGTTTATCCCGGGGCTCAAGAGCAACCCAGGCCAAAGGGTCCTCGTCAGGGTGGGGCTCGTCTTCATAATTGGCAGCTGAAATGTCGTCCCCGACTGAATGCGCAATTATACCTGAAAAGCAGGGGAAAATAGTGAATTTGACATTATCAAATCCACCCTTCCACCGCAAATCAAGTGAAAGAGCGACAAACTCGACCCAAGCCCTCGACTACATGCTAAAGCGGACTATTACGTTGGGAGGTCATGTTGTCGGGGGAATGATCAATCATCGAGCGAGAAGCCCGAGATAATCCATGTATCCGGTGAAGTCATCCCCTGTGTTACGGACATTATTCGGGGAGGTCGCCCTGACACTATAGCTAATGAACGTTCATAAAGTGTCTGGCACATTCATGAATGCTCGACGCAGAATCCATGAACTTTAATGAACATTCATGAGTATTCATCATAAAACTCATAAATGTTCATCCAATCAAGGCATAATTTAGACATTTAATTCAGAAACACTTAAGAAATGTGGTGTTAAGAGTTTGTAACTTACTTGAATGAAGAACTCAAAGAGAAAATCTGAGAAGTTGAGAGGATTGCTTCGCACAACGAGCAAGGAAATCTGGGAAGTTGAGAGGATCGCTTCACACCACGAGCAAGAAAAGTTGAAAGAAAACTTGAGAAGATGACAAATGAGACCCAAGGACCCCCTTTTATAGGTGAGCCACGCTCCAAGAGGTCCCTCATGAAAGGTCATCATTTCATTGGGCCTTTTGGCTTTCCCCTTAAAGGGGTGGCAACCCAAAGCATTAGCCACGTGGCTTAATTGTCAACCACGCGCCCCTTCTGGATTGACGAGCATATGCCCGACTCCTATGTATCATCCCCAGACACGCACGAAACAGATATCCCACACGAGGGAATGCTCGACATTAGAGCGCATATAGAGGCATATTCGTTCGACCACCTCAGGGACGAAGTAATGCTCGACATATCAACAACTCCCTCAAGACGGACGCGTCAAAGAGAATCTCACGGAGGCTCTCCATCACTAATACGGTCCTCTCGAACAAGTGACTGACCCCTTCGGTCTCGATGCCCCCACACGGGCAATAACTTGTTCCTTTCGGAGGACTTTAATCGTCTTCCTTGATCAAGTCTCCGGTATCGAGAGATGAACTCAAGTCACCGCCCTTTTGCTCAAGGACAATAACTTGGGGACTCCTGATCTGGATTGGATCTACACTTGCCCTTCGAACGAGAAGCCCAAAAACAGCTCAAGTTAGGGACCGTTGGGCAACTCCACACCCGACCGTTGGAAGACGTGGCCCACGATCCCACGACAGCCATCTTAAACTGCCCTCCAAAAATCACAGATCCAACCCTGTTCTCGCAGAGCAGTTGACCAAGGGGGAGTCCACTGGCTGGACTCCATACACACGTAAGCCCTGGCAGTTCCTATTATTGAGCCTCAACGTGGCCCAATAGTGGAAACCTTGGCCCAACGTTGGAGGCTATAAATACCCTGTCTCCTAAGAGGATCAGGGATTCAATTCAACATCTTTCTCTAGACTCATACTTGCTTGCTCATTCTGCAACTTACTTTGCCATCGGAGTGTCTTACAGGTACCCCCATCTCATTCAACTTCTGTCCAAGCTAACTGTGACGGTCCTTCTCTGATTCGGTAAAATCACTAACGTAACAGTTATAATCAATACAAATAAAAACAGACCATAAATTGCCTATTATTCATCTACTCATAAGAATTCACCACCCAAAACAAACTTATACCCACTTATTGGAATTGGTCTTACCTTATACCATGTTCTTAACCAAATACCAAAACTAAGTCTAATGAATAGAGATTCTCAAATAAGTTAGTGTTTCTCCGTTTAGATAGTTTAGAAAGCATGCATTCTTTATTACCAAAACACATACCGATTCACCTTACCGAGTTGATTCAATAAAAACAGAAAGATAAAGGTTTTAAATAGAGATTTTGAATAAAAGAGGTGCACGGGTTTTATTCGCAATAATAACGCAAGCCAGTTTTAACTAATATAATGCCTTAACAAATCAACTCCATCACAAGTTTAGCATACTGAAGAGTTCTAAGCAAAATTAAATGTGTCTAAATTTCAATAGATGCAGGAATTTTCCATCACTGTTGGTCACACTGCTATTTAGTATTGAAATGAGGCGCTCTAACTGCAACAGCGTCTACTAAGAACTTAAAAGGGGGCTAAAAATACAAACTTTAAACCCAAGTGTCTTTGTCTTTAAGTTTCCTATTCATAGACCAAGAGGAAACTAGTTAATATTTCTGCAACTAGCAACAAACACTGGCGCCATCTGACACTCAAAAATTTGGAGAAGGGTAAAAATAAATAGAAACATAATCAGAGAAACACACTACCATACATAACATTATACACCATCACTTCCTAATTAATTGTGAATAATTCACCTTCTAATAATTGCAGAGTCTGCCCGAGTTTAGTCACTGTCCTCTTCATCTGCATGAATGAGAGAATATAAGGACAACTACTTTCAAACAAGGGAAAAAAACACAAGTAACACATAGATGTTGTCAACTAGTTATAGAAAAGTTAATGCACCCGACAGATAAAGCAGTCTGTTAAAACTTTGAAGATAAACACTGTCTAAATTTGGTTACACATGATACAATACAAAGATCTAGAAAAAATAAATGCATAGGTACACCTGAAACTAAAATCTTTCATCGCACATGAAAAACAAAAAGGAAGGGTGGAACAAATATATTCTTTATGTTCCAAGACTAATTCTTTTACCTAGAGATTCTTTAGATGTATTTATGTAGCTACCATTATCTGGGTATTCAGCATACTGGACCTTATCAAAAATTCGGTAATAATAACTAAAAGCAGATGTTTTAAATATTACTGTCAACGGTATTTAGATGGGGAAAATGGAGCTTAAAATACAAGGCAAAATGGAGCTTAAAATACAAGGCATAGCTTATACATATAAAACATGGGAATCATTTGATAGAACAATCAAATTTGAATTCCTACTATCCATATTGCTTCTTACTCTATCCAAACAATTAATTATCACCAACAGACCACTTAACCAGTGCAAAAAGTACTAAAGAACACATGACCCATAGTCTATTATGATTTTCTGATAAACCAACAAAGTAAAAATGGTGCAGTGCCTTATAATATTTTAAACAGACTTACCGGCATCAAAGTCTTCACTCTCACTTCCATCGTCACTGCTATCCTCCTCTTCTTCCTCTTCTTCATCTTCTTCTTCTTCACCTTCCTCACCCTCTTCATTATCCTTGCCTTCATCATCATTGTCATCATCACTAACTTTTTTATCTTTGCCACTAGATTCAACTGGTGTCTTGGGCTTTGGTGGTGGTGGAGGAGGCGCAAAACTAATTGTTGCCCGTCTACGTGTACTCGACACAATATTACTCATATCAATACCCTCAAGCTCCTTGGCTCTCGCCTTCTTCCTACTCACTTCTTTGATTTCTAAGAAAATGAGAAAAGAGGGGAAAATGTGACCAATAAATATAAAGATAGAATGAGAATATATCATACACTGAAGCATCTGGATTTTGCAACTTAATGCAGCAAACATTAGATTTCAAATGAGTTAACTGACACCCTTTGAGTTAACTGACACTACATCAACACCCACCTCTAAATTCCATATATTGGAATAACATATCAAATATTCCTGTTTTTGTTTTTCACTACATCCATACCCTCTCTGAGCAACCATGACACTTGCACTTGGCAAACACATAAATCAATAAAAATGTCCAAAATTTATTTCTGGTTTGTGATGTTGACATTTCACTACACAGCATGCATAACCAATGAAGTTAAGACCCTATGGATGTCAACATAGATAATAGGACTAATTAATGTTAAAGAATAAGGAGAAATATGTTCATAATGATAGGTTTTTGGGTTTGTATTAGCAAAAATATGAGATATATTTTATATGGAATAACATCTTTCTAAACTTGTATACATCGCTCTACATATAAAGCTAAATTGCAATACAAAACATATCTCTAAATCATATCCTTAAATAAGGAACAAATCCTAAAAATATTCTAAGTAAAATTTCAAATGTAAATTATTTCCTAATGATATCTTATCTCAAATATATTTAAACTATAAATTTATAATCTTCTAAAGATATTTGGGCATACTATTCTCAACACATATTACCTCCGTCCCTAAATATAGGACTCTGTTGACTAAATCACGAAAATTAAGAAAGTTGGTAGCAGTATAAATTTGTTAATAGTAGATGTTGTTTTCCAAGTTTATCCTACAAGAGAGAGAGTTTATTTATATTCTCATCATAGCATTTATTTGAAGTTGTAGAAAAAGAGGTAAAATAATTTTGAATATGTTGGTAAAGAAATATTTAAGATAGTTTAAAATTCAAGAAGTGTCTTATAAAAAGGTACAAGAAAAATTCTCAAGACGAGGATGCAATGTTTAGGGACGAAGGTAGAAATATATATTCACAAGTACTTCAGCTTAGTTTCTAATATGTGTATACTTATTCAGAACTGACTGCACAAAAGGTAACAGGATCAAACTGGAAAACTGGAAAACTGGAAAACGAAAAACTTTTTCAATCGTTTGGGTTGAGTGAAAAATAACTACAGCTCCAAGATCTCCTTTGATAAAGGAATGCATTTATCATTCAATCATAATGCAAATAATGCAGCTAAGGATCACTGACACAAAAAAAAAAAAAAGCTCACCCTTTTCAGATGGATTTGAAGACAAGCCTTCTCTAGACAGTATTTCTTCCAATTCTTTAATTAGTTGTCCTTCCCGTTTGTCTTCGGGCACCTGCTTGACTTTTTTATAAATAACGGGGGGAACGCTGTGACAGAAACATAAAAAATCAAACAATCATCCTCAACAAATAACTAAGGATCATAGGAATCCAAAATAGAAAATCACCTCATCCCACATGCTTTAATAACAGATTTCAAGTGCTCCACGCGTTTACTGTACACAGGAGCTGCAACTTGTTTCTTCTGAAGTTCAAGGAAAAAAGGATGTGATTTAATTAAATATAATCAATACATTTAAACTTGTAGAGATTGATAAATAATAAAGAATGTTGAGGAAAGCTTCATTAAAATTTACAGAAGAATAACAAGTGGGTATTTCATCATATAAGGAACTGGTATTCACATTCAGCTAAGAGATCATGACTGTTTGATAAATATGACTATGGCCCTAACTTCTCAAATTATTTGAGATCAGCAGTCTGCACATAATAATGAATAATTTAGTATAACCTTGGTAGTATTCTCTGCTGATGAACGGGACTGATCATCTTCGGAGTTTTTTCCATCATCTTCGGAGTTTTTTCCATCATCTTCTGCATCGCTATTGACTTCTGAGACTGATTTAGCAGGCTTGGCCTTTTTCTTGCTGGGAAGACTGGACTCATCTCCTTTACGCTTTTTGGGTCCAACAGGAGTCTGCGTCTTCCCTTTTGTAACACTTTTTTTTCTAGGTTTGACTTCATCTTCCTCATCCTCTTCACTCATTTCATCTGAATTATCAGAGTTCCCTTCAGTACTGACCTTTTTTGTAGCTTTGGAATTAGGTTTCTTCTTAACAACTTTCTTGGCACTTTTAACAGGTTCCACAACTTCAGAAGACGATAATACCTTCACATTTAACATAGACTCGGTGAGCATTAAATTGTGCATTTTCGTGCTTCTTATGTGCATCAATGAAACCTTTTCGATACATTTTTAACTCACCTCGTCAAGCTGCTGCCTTATAAACTTCTTAAAGGGATCCAGAGTAAATTCATCAAGTTTAAGATCTTCCTCCAAAAGCCTGCGAAGACCACCCATAGTAACTTTCCTGAAATCAACAAATGAAGAGTACTCAATACCATATCTTAAAAACTAGAACCAAATAAAATGTTGACATTAATAAATGTATCAAAGATAAAAGACCAAGAACATGTGCATTGTCACAAAGAGAGGTCAGAACAATGAACAATCGCAAGAACCAGCAACATACTCTGCATTATCCTTGAGGTATGAAGATCTTTTTCTAATAGCTTTCTTAATTAGAGCCTCATTAGGAACTACTTTTTTTCCATTGCCGTCTTCTTTCTTGGTTTCTTGCTTAACTCTCTTTTGTTCTTTAAGCAGACCTAATACCGGAGAATCTTCCATTTTCTCCGCATCTTCAAGAACATCCTTTTCATCTTTAGATTGAATTTCCTCCTTTAGTCCTTCCATCTCTTCTTGCGTACTTTCACCTTTCTCTCCTTCCTCCCCCGACACCTTTGCTGCATCATCATCATCACCAGCCTCTTCTAAACACTGGCAGAAATACGGAAAAACACACACACACACATACACATTCATATCAAAAATTACAAAAGTAAATCCAATGCAAAAGTAAAAGCATAATTGTATGAAAGCAAAATCGGTGAGTTCGGTTCGGTGTTTATGCCCTAGTAACTAAAATTAATCAATACTAGTAAGTTAAAATTAGGGTTTTGAATAAAGAAAAGTGTAGAAACCTTTTCCAAACACTGCTTGATAAATCTTTTGTGAGCATCCAAAGAAAACTCCTCGAAAGCTAAATCTTTCTCTAGCAATCTACGAACACCTTCGTATGTCAAAGAACTGCATTGAAAAGCAGGGTATTAGAAACAGAAAGAGAGTTAGTTAGTTACATAGTTAGAGAGAGAAGAAGAAGAAGAAGAGAGAGAAACAAACTCGGCTTGTTGCTTGAAGTGAGAGACGCGAGAGTGAATGGCGGTTTGAATCTGAGACTGGACGTCGACGTCATCCTTCTTCTTCTCGATTTGTTTGTCTTCTGCCATGGTTATGCTTCGCAACTTACAGTTTTTTTTTGTGGGGTTGTTAAACGGTGTAGTGTGTTATTAATATTAGGGTACGGTTTCGGGTCTTCGCTGCAGAGTCTAGTCCGAACTCCGAACAGTTTGAATTTGAATACCCGTATGCGTGTGGGTGTTTATTGTGTTGTGCCGATACAAGATCCGAATGGAGGAATTAATTATGGGAATTTCTTTTTCCATTCTTACTCCTTCTTAGCCTTTTTTTTTTTAAATTCCGTATTTATTTTTAGAATTCGAAAATGTATTTCTAAACACATTAGATTTTGTTTTCTTTTTTTTGTGAATTTAGAAATATATTTCTGAAATTATGAATTTTTTTTTTTTTTATGATTTCGAAGATGTGTTTTTAAAATTATAAAATTTCATATTTTTTTTGTGAATTCGAAAATATATTTTCGAAATAGACAATGATACATAAAAATAAATATGGTTAAAATTCTCAATTGTGTTTATGTTTATGAAGTAATTTTATTTCTTTGTCTCTTGTTTATTATAGAAGAGGTTCAAGGTCCGTTATTTTTTTATCTTTTCAAATTATTTTGTTAACTTTATATTATTGACACATTATTTGATCTTATTTTACTAATATGTTTTTCTTTTTTTCTTTTACAACGATTATTAAATGCAAAACCCATTGTGACTGTCCGAAAGTACTTCACTGTTTTTAGATAGCAAGACAACGATTATCGAATATAATTAGGATCAAAACTAATTTTAATTTTCATATTATGTAACAATTGGCTGCTAACTACTATTCATTCAAAGATCTTTAATTGATAAGAAATACATAAATGTTGAATTGAAAACCATTCTTATTATAAGTAAAATACTACAGAGTAAGACGATCATTTAACTCAAACTCAATCACCAAATTTGTCAAACCAAAATAAAACTCATAAAAAAAACAAATTAAATACCTTTTAAAAATGGATATAAAATATTTTGTAGTTTATAAAGAACTAAATGTAAGAAACAAGAGAAAAACAAGAAAAATTGGGTATTTTTGGATTTCGGAAATGTATTTTCGAATTCATTTCAAAATTTAATATTTTAGATGCTTTCGGATATGCATCTTCGAAACACCTTAATTTGAGATACATTCGTAAATACATCTCTAAAGGATATTTTCGAATTTTTAGAAGTTTTTTCCATTCCTAAGAAGTGTACAAAGAAATTTCTATTAATTTTAGTATTCTTTTAAAAGAAATTTTCTTAAAGCAAAATTCAAAGTCAACCTACCTAACTTTATTATTTATTTTTAGTTAATGTTCAATTTTTTTTGTCATAAGTTAGGGTACAAGAGATTAGCCTCCTTTGAAGGATTTGGTGTCTCTGATATTTTTTTATGGATCTCTCATTATTAGAAATAAAAAATTAGATATGATGTGTCAGACATGTTCATTTTATCCGTATCTTTTGTGTGGTGAATTTTAGATTCACATCATTTAATGTGTTTGTTATGTAACATTGTCTTTTTGCAGTAGGTTTTTGTAAATACGGTTATTAATATTAATTTTTATATTTTTAAACTTAAGAAGTGCATTTCCGGTAGACCCGTCCCATCCAATTTTTTTGCAGAATGAATCAAAATTTTAAATTCACACCCCCAACTATGTTTGTTTTGACTCATTTCATTTTTTTCAGACTTTTGAGAAGGGGATATATTGGTTTGTTGTTCTTACTCATAACCATCACTTTTCTCTTACCTTTCATCTTCAAATATACATTAAAATTAAATTTACCAAACATTAAAGTTATCAAACATTAAAAGTATTAAATTTATTCCCAAGTTAGAGATATCTTTATTTTATTTTGGTTTTCTCTCTTAAAATTTGTATCCAAACTCATTCATATCCAATATTGAAACATGTGACAGCTTTATATATTTAAATAAAATAAATGTTTTCTCTAATTTTCCATTTTATATGTTTTAAGGGTAAAATATGTTTTTAGTCTTTATAAATAAACTATAATTTAACTTTAGTCCTTCTAAAAAAATTCTTTAAACAATTATTCTCCTAAAGTTTTACATCTACAGTTTTATCCATATCATCAACGGTCATTAACAAAAGTTGATGTGGCACATCACATGAAAGATAGCTAGGACATAAATTTGAAAAACTCCTTAAATTATGGGGGTTACAAACCTCTCTCAAACAAATCCAAAAAATGCATCCTCCTTCAACACTCCCTTCAAACCAAACCCAGAATTTTCATTGTACTTGCTTAAAATCCCCCACATCATTTCAAGTCCCAAATATTCTTCCACTAAAATCTTAACCAACACTTCCAACAACAACTACGTAAGACAAGAAGAAACAAAAGTTATTGATGTTGATGTTACCGAGTCAAATTGAAAGCGGGTTACTGAGTCATGAAGAAAGAGTTGAGAAAAAAAAATGTGGGTGGTTGTTGATTTGTGGTTCGGTCTAAGAGAAGGAGGAACCAAACTTGCTTAAAAAGTAGTACTTGCTTACCAAAGATGAACATGGAAGCTCGCAGTACACCTTTTTGTTTCTTCTTATGTCATTGTGAAAACAAAAGCCTTGCATCAAGTAGTCCACCTTTTTGTTTCTTCTTGTGTCATTGTGAAAACAAAAGCCTTGCATCAAACAACAACCTTGTTAATGGTTTTTCATCTATAACCATTTTTTCTTCATTGTTGATGCAGTTTTTTCAGCATTGGATAACATGGGTTTTCTTGCAAACATGGTGAACTTAGTTTTATGGGCTCTACAAACACTCTCTCAAATTTCATGGGCTCAACTTTCTTGCAATCACTTGTTGGTGGTTTCATCTCAAATACCTACTTCAATAGATTAACCACATGTTTGATTTTTGGATCACTCGAAGTTATATAACAAACAAAAACCAATTGGGTCAGGCATTCCTTTGAACATGTAGTGTGCATGTTTTGATTTTCGGAATTTGAGTTGTGTAGGCTTTGGTAATGATAGAAGTCGAAGCAGTGTTGAAAAATTTACACCCAAAAGCATGTCAAGTTACTGGTGTTGTTTAGGTGAGCACAAAAAAACCTTGGCATTGGGGATTTTTCATCATCACACTTTCTTCTTCTATTGGTTTTGTTACACTTTCTCTTGGTAAACCATTTTACCGTATCAAAGTTCCTAGTGAAAGTCTAATTTTAAGGATTATTCAAGTTAGAAATTATTCTATAATTCATTTATTAATGAACCATTATTGTTTGTGCATGTTATTGTTGTGGCATTTAAGAAAGAAAGCTACCACTTCCAAAGACTAATGAACAACTTGAAGTGTATAAAGATGTTACTTTAGAGAAGATTTCACACACAAACCAAATGAGGTATTTATTTGATATGTGTTTTCATGTTATTTCTTGTTTCTTCTTGTCTTTCTTTGTTGTTGTAAGAAGTTTTGGTTAAGGTTTTAGTGGAAGAAGATTTGGAACTTAAAATGATGTGAAGGATTTTTAAGCAAGTACAATGAGAATTCTGAGTTTGGTTTGAAGGTATTGTAGAAGAGGATGAATTTTCTTGGTTTGTTTGGAGGAAGTTTGTAACCCCCACAATCTAATGTATTTTTTAGATTTAAGTCATCTTCCACGTGGCATGCCACATCAACTTTTGTTAAGGATGTTGACGGCAGGGACCAAAATTGTGGATGGAAAACTTTAGGAAGACCAATATTTGAAGGAATTTTTTAGAGGGGCTAAAATTGAATTATGAGATATTTATAGGTACCCCATACATATTTAACCATTTTTTGAATTCATCCTCTCTGTTGTGAAAATTCAATAATTCAAGTGTTGTAACTAGTTACTGCATTCTTATAACCGATTACAAGGTGTGGTATATTTGATTATTGAAACAAGTGTAATCGGTTTCTGCGTTTTGGTAAACAATTACCACTGAGATGTTTTTAATTGTAGAAATAGTTGTAACCGATTACAAGTTTAGCGTAACCAATTACATGCAGTTAATTTCAAATTTTCTCTTATTTCATATAGTTATTTGTGTCTCAATCTAATGTATTTGTGTATATACCTTTGAGGTATACTTAATGAAAAGTAGTTAATATGCATTTTCACCCTCAATTATATTCTCTCTCTCTCTCTCTCTCTCTCTCTCTCTCTCTCTCTCTACACTCAATTATTTCATTTTTCACCAACCTTGTGGTTCTAAGTTCTAACATTTAGCATCAAGAGCTTGGTTTGATCCATCAAACACCCAATGTACAACATGAATTCAGTCTCCAATGAAATAATCCATACAAACCTACTCATCCTTGATGCAAAGAATTATGACAAATAGTGCAAGAAAATGAAGGTGTTGTTTGGCTACCAATATCTTTTTGAAGTGATCAAGAACGGTGTGAATCTTCTTGTTGGTGCAACAGATGCACAATGAGCACCGCATAAGGAAGAAAAGAAGAAAGATTTCAAGGCGCTGTTTTCAATCTATCAATACATTGATACTGCTAATTTCGAGAAAGTTAGTGATTGCGAATCATCGAAGCAGGCGTGAGAAATCTGGAAGAAGGCATACACAGGGGATGATAAGGCGAAGGTTGTGAGTCTACAAACTCACAAATGTCAACTTGAGTTGATTCAAATGAAGGAGAAGTAGACCATCAACAATTTTATAACGATAATTACTCAGTTGGTGAACCAAGTAAAATCATGTGGAGAAACTAGCACAGAGCAGTATGTAGTCACGAAAATCTTGCATTAATTAATGCCAATATTTGATAATACGGTCATAGCGATTGAGGGATTAAAGGATCACACGACGATGAGGAAAGAGGAGTTATAAAGCTCTCTTAAGGCACATAAGCAGAGAATGGAGGAGATAAATTGTGATAAGGCAAAGGCAGGGATTGCTTTGCAATCTCATTTCAACGAGAAAGACAAGAAATCGAAGGGGAATGGCCCATAAAGAGTAAAGGGGATTTTCAAATTTTAGCTGGAAGAGAATCCCAAAATT